ACCATCCCTACATCTCTGGGATGAAGCCAATTTATATACTTTAAAGGTATCTTAATTTCAGATTGTGGGCTTAAGGATATGTTGCTTTGGAAAAGAGGTTCTGTTTTTGTTTTCACAGAAGATGAGAACCTGTGGACTTCTTCCAGACTAATGTGGCTCGATGAACCAAGATCTCCTGAAAGGTTGCTGTGAACACCCTCAAAATACTTTGCCCAACAAAAACCAGGAAGCAGTTTAAAGAGAACTACACCCAATTTCCCTAAATGATTGTTTAATAAATGTTTGTTTACATTTAAAAGTGGATATACTATAGAAATTTGCATTGGTATGGATCTTGGTTTATTGATACAAATTTAAGGTCAATTTAGTTATATGTATATTTCTGCTCTTGATTAAGGTATTGTGTTTGTACAGCTCATTCTTAAAATAATTAAGAAACATAGGTTAATAGATAATCATCTATAATAGTCAAGCTCGTAGTCATGTTGGTTAGGATATATATATGTACGTATGTATATGTATATTTCAGTTATATAAATATTCTTCAAATCTTTTAGAGACCTTCAGAATATGGGATTTAAAATGTTTTAAGGACTTAGGACTTTTCATGACAATGAGACACATCTGCCCCTGGCAGCACCAATCTACTTCAAGAAGATAAATGGAATTGAAGAGATTCCTTATGGAGTTTGTTAGCCATTTGGGCAAGAAACTGCTCTTGCCTGGACTGCTTAATGCTATGCTGTATGAACTGGACATGCAGGACCCACAGAGAAATGACTACTGAACTTGCCTAAAGGTGAGATGGTCCTTTGGGGTTCCTGCTACATGAAAGAGTCTGTCAGACATTCTGCAAAACACAGAAAAAAAAAACTAATGGCAGAACATCATATAGGGATTGTCTTTCTATGTAGCACAGTCTCATTCTCCAAGAAGTTGCTCTTGGGAGATTTCCATATCTCAAGATTTATTCCATTGTTCAATATTCTTAACCTTTTCTCTGAACGAGCTACTCCATTGCAATTGTGGACCAAGCTCTAAAACAGCTTTTATAGAATCTCTCCAGTCTTTTTTGTTTTGTTTTGTTTTGTTTTGTTTTTTGTTTTGTTTTTTGAGACAGGGTTTCTCTGTGGCTTTCCTGGAACTAGCTCTGTAGACCAGGCTAGTCTCGAACTCACAGAGATCCACCTGCCTCTGCCTCCCGAGTGCTGGGATTAAAGGCGTGCGCTACTACAAACTGACTACACATTTAACATTTGCTTCACAAACAATAAATGCAAGCCATATGAGACTGTGGACCCACATGTTGTTAGTACCATTCTCTCCTGTTGCTGCTCTGACTCATTAAACAGCTCAGCTATGGGGGAAGAGGAGAGGGCCCACTCCATAGACTAAAGGCAGCCTAGCTTCTCCTTCACCTGGAGGCTAGAGAACCCAGCCTCTTGTAAGTGACCATGGTGAGCACAGTGACAAAGATAAACAGTCATGGGTAGTGATAGTGCCTTCACAAAGACCAGGTGTGGCTGCTCATGCTGGCAACCCCAGTTCTCAGGAGACCAGAGCAGGCAGAGTGCTGGGAGTTCAAGACCAGCCTGGGCTACAGAGTGAGACACTGCCTTGAGCCTAATTCCTGAAAAAGGAGAAAGAGGGCTGGAAAAGCAGGTGAGGGATCAGCTTGGTGGATGGAGGACCCTGAATAATAAACCAGTAAAACCTCGCCCCTCGAGGGAAGTAATCGAACTTAACAGGAAGATCATCTCTTCCCCAAGAAGGTGAAGCTGAGGGGAAGAAGCAGGACTCAAAATTCGCAGCAGAAGATGGAAACAGCAGCTTCCTTACTTTTAACAGCGAAGAGAAAATAAGTACACATATTCATACCTAGTTTTCTTTGAAAGAATGAGGTATTGTTTTTAAAATAGCATGTTTTCATATTTTTTATTTTTTTTAATTTTTTAATTTATTTATTTATTTATTAAAGATTCTGTCTCTTCCCCATCTATATTTTTTAAAAAGTAAAAAATTTCCCTTACACTATAAGATCATTATAGAATATTTAAAACATACAGGGAAGATATTTAATAAAATAAAAGCGATATGTATTGATCAGTACCCCACAGGATAGTAACACTTTAGAAGTTAACTACTACTAACGTTATATTTTCTCACGTGTATGGGTATATATATTGTCTTAGCTACTTTTCCACTGCTGTGATGGTACACCATAACCAAAAGCAATTGGGGAGGAAGTTGTTTTCCCGAGCAGTAACGTGAAAAGGCTGAAGAGGCTTGGATGGTGAGAGTACGTACCAGCTTCGAACGGCTGACCTGCAAAATCAATGCATGAGAAGAATAATCCCCTGCTCATTTCAGCAGAGCACTGTGGAGGTGGGGTTTTCTTTATGGGTCCTAGTGACTCCCCAAAGGGAAAGGTGTATATCCCATTATCCAGTGCTAAGAAATAGAATGGAGCCCCATGGAAAGCTTGCTCTATGAATGCTGTAATTTGGGGAACACATTTGAGCAATTTTAAATTCATGTCTGGAAATCTAGAGATGTTGACTAACTCCAGTAAGAGTACTTTTTGGAAAATCTCTAATATAAATACTAAGCTTAGCTTAGAAAGTTGAAGTAGTTTGTTTACGGTCGGTTGTCACAAATGAATGCAGAAGCTGGAATTGAAACCAACACTGGTTTTAGAGTTTGCATTTGAAATCTATTTTTCTTTTCTTTTTCTTCCTTCCTTTTTTTTTTGGGGGGGGGAGTTTGTTTGTTTGTTTGAGACAGGGTTTCTCTGTGTAACCCTGGTTGTCCTAGAACTTGCTCTGTAGACCACAAACTCAGAGATCCATTTCCTCTGCCTTCCGACTGCTAGGATTAAAGGTCTGTGCCACCTCCACTTTGCTGAATTCTATGTTTCTTCTCATTTATGTCTTTCTTACTTTTATTGCTTCCTTTTAATCTATACTTTGACCCAAGTTCTTCATCTCTCAGCTTGGAATTCTTTGACGGGAGAAGCCAAAAGTGCACCTGCAGACTCTTGGCAGCCTCCATGAAGCTGCTCGTGAGTTCCGCTGTCTACATACAGGACTTGATATAATGTCTCAACATCCTGACTTTGCTGGATAAACTCTGGGAGTCTTTGAGTCAATGCCTCTCACTACAGAGACTGCCTTTTAGACTTTAAGGTGTTGGAGTTGAATTGTATCTTCCAAATTCCTAGGTTGCACCCTTGAAACAGAGTACTTCTGAATGGGGCCTTTCTTGGAAATGGGGGCATTGCAGTTATAATTAAATAGGAATATTCATATTGGACCAAGGCCAGACCATAGATTTCTATATGAAAATGGGAAATTAGAACACAGAAGCAGATGTGCAAACAGGGAAAACAAAGTGAAGAAATATAGGGAGAAAATAGCCAAATGCAAAACCAAGAAGAGACAGGGAGCAGGTCCTTCCGTCCCTCCTCTCACAAGGAACCGACCCCACCCTCACAACGACTATGAACATCCAGCCCCAGAACCCCGAGACAAGAGACTTCAACCGTTCAGTCTGTGAAAACATGGTCTCTTCACAGAAGTCCCCGAAGTTCTATAAAATCAGAAGTTGAAACTGGATTGTAAAATCTAGAAGCATACTTTGGGAAGTAGAGCGGTCCTAGGGGACATGGGAGAATCCAGTTAGAACAACGGTTGCATCGGCATCACGGGATAACAGGTTCATGGTTGATGTTCACTTCCCACTGTGCTTCCTAGATGTTGTGTTTCCTAAATCCCCAGTTCTGACTCAGTTGTCTAATTGGGACCATTGACAACATGCTCCTCCTTTGCTTTCTCCTCCTCTTCCTCCTGGAGATAGGCTCTAACTACGTAATCCAGGCTGGCCTAAAATTCAGGAACCTCCTACCTCAGCCTGGAAGTTGCTGGTACTGCAGGCATGCACCAGCATGGCTGACTGCAATATGGTTTTATTTAACAGCCAACAGCGATATACTAGTTTTATTTATGGTAAACCCTCATATCCTAGCACACTGGGACACCAGTCCCAGAATAAGTCTGGGTGTCCCAGCCTTTGATCCCTTCATTGTAACGGACTTCCCTGCTTCCCCCTTACATACCGAGGCTTCCTTCAACACCAGTGGAAAATCTAACCTACCATTTCTGGTTTTCTCAGCTTTGTTTTGTGCTTATTTTGAGACAGGGTCTCTCTACAGAGCCCTGACTGTCCTGGAACTTGCTCTGTAGACTAGGGTGGCCTTGAACTTACAGAGATCCACCCACCTCTGTCATCTAGGTGCTGAGATTAACTACCCATTATTTCTAAGATGGCCACACTAAATAACCTCTGAACCTCACTGTAAGTTCCTGTTTCATTATTCCTTCTGAATTTGGGGACACACAGGCCGCTGGGATTCGCTGGGAGCTCTGTAGAAGAGGGATTTTATTCAGCACATACATGCAGTCATGCATAGACTATGCCATTCTCTGTCCTTCAAACACCCTCCATTAAGTGGAAACGGAGACAAGAGCTTTATGTGTAGGCAATGTATGTGGAAACGAACTATCAGGACCTAAGAGTGAAGGGCCTGGGAGGGCGAAGCAAGAGGAAGGATGGGAAAGTCACCCTGAAGTGAACCGAGTCAGAGTTCTTCTGACCCAGCACACAGACATACACACACCTGCAGAAGGAAGGGCTGCTCCCGAGTCTACCAAAACTTCCACAACTGTGGTTATAGCAAAGAAGCCAATGAGTCCCTTAAGTGTTTGAAATTGGTTTGGGGCTGGACTAGAGCACTGGCTACTCTTTCAGAGAACCCAGATTCGATTCCCAGCACCCACATGGCAGCTCCAATGACTCAAATGCCCTCTGCAGGTCTCTGAGGGCACCAGGCATGCAGAAGGTATACAGAAATACATGCAGGTAAGATACAATATTTATATACACAAAACAGTATTTTTTTTAAAAAAAAAAGAAATAAATGATTTCAACAAATATTAAAGTACTCTACTAATTTTTATTACCACACACTAGTGGTAAACTTGGGCTTAAAATCACAAATTCCTACATCATAATGTCAGATTATTCTTAAGTTCATGATGATGCCAATGGCACCGCTATCAGAACTGCCCAAAGCAGCAACCCTGATGAGGTGAATATTCTTATCTCTGTATGTGACATGTAGTTTCTGCTTGGCTAACCAGCTTGACATTAATGGTTGCTCTTAGGTTTGCCCAAAAAAGTCTATGTTTGCTGTTCTCCATAGGCCATTCCAAGTAAGTCCGCTGCGCCATGAGAGATTTAAGTTTGTGGTAGTTGCTAGGGATGGAGTACTGTGGGATGGGCTCCAGCAAGATCAGGATTAGGTTATCAGAGCCTTCGTGGAAGAGATTGTGATGGGCAAAGTAGAGCTCATAATGGCACCACTCACTCTGAATGAAATGGGGAGACAACACAAAAATGGACTTGTAGCTCTTCTCGATGGAATGGATGATATTCTCCATGATGCTCTTGCCAGGAATAAAGTTTCTCTCATGGAGGCAAACCCGTATGCCATCTTTCTCTAGGTTTGGTAGTAATTCATTCTTCACCCAGGTAGAATCATGTCTACTGTATGAGACAAAAGCATGGAATTGGAGCTTCCTCTGGAGTTCCTCTTCGGGGATGTTCCTGGCCCTGTGCCGGGTCTGTGTCCACTGACACACCATCCTCAGGTACCAGGGCAGGTCAAAGTAGAGCCAGAGGAAAGCCATGATGGCAACCAACACCAGCAAAGTGGCCCCGACTGTGACCATCAGCAGAACAGTATCACAGGACAATGGAGACATGCGGAAGTCCTGCAGTGGGGTCCCCTTAGCACCTTCTGGGGAGTCACACCTGTAAGAATCGGGCCAGCCCTCTACCACTTCTCCGGATACGTGGCCTATGTTTTTGATAAACTCTCTCAGCTCACATGTACATCGGAATGGGTTGTTCCCTGCTGCTAAGGACCTGATCTTCTGACAGCTCTGGAAGAAATCCACTGAGGGGAGGGAAACTGAATTATGCTCAATGACCAGCACAGAAAGGCTGCCGAAGGCCCCGCATCCGGGAAGGTCCACTAAAGAATTGGATGCAACATTGAGTTCCTGCAAAGCTTGCAGGTAGGTGATCTCTTTAGGGATGCTCATTATTCTGTTGTTGTGAAGGTCAAGGACCTTGACCTTGGGGGGCAAGCATTTGAAGACACAGTCAGCAAGCATATTTGAGGACAAATTTAAAACTAGCAAACTCTCCGTCCAGGAGCATAGGTTTTCCTTCTCGCTGTACTGTAGAAAATTCTGGCTAATGTCTAGTTTTTGTAGTGATTTCATCTCCGCAGACATAAGAATTATATTTTCAAGTTTTTTTAACTGGTTCTTTTGTAAACTAAGTGTTTTCAATTTAATTAAGTTTCTGCAATCTTCAAAAACCATGTCTGTTAAGAGGTTATCTGTGAAGTCCAAATACAGAAATGGGCTAACATTTAACGGGCAAAGCATGTGGAGCATGCGTGTTCCAGACACCGTGAAGTTTTGGATGTTCATATTGGAAAAGATACCATAAATGTATCTTTGTGGTAAACTGTACACTTCACTGACAACTTGATGTATTGACAACGCCTTTAGAGAAGTGCCAGAATAATTGAAATTTCTGAACTCAACTTGACCTTGTAGTGTCATGTTTGAAATTGAGAAATACTTTACGGGTGCATGCCAAACAGACTGGAGGATATCAAGGAAGGAATTCCATGTCGTTTTAATGTTGTTTAAGGTAAGACTTGATAGCCCCGGATTCTTTCTAAGCTTTAACAAAGCACTTAAGAAATAAGAACAATTAGAGTTTTCAAGTCCACACTTGATGTTAGATAGTTCCAAACTGTTTACAGTGCTGACTGATACATCCAGCGTAAAACGAAATTCTCTTTTCTCGGGGAAAACAACATGCAGAGCCCCAGTGTTAATGTGCTGAAGACACTGGGGGTCTTCTCTTTCCCCGTAAGTGTCTCCTAACACCAGCAAAACCTCAGTGATATTCAAACGAGCAATCAGCTGCACACTCGCGCTTTGCACCTGACTACCACTCAGTCCCAGAAATTTTAACTGGGACATGTTGCCAAACTCTTTGCATATGGGAAGGGCATCAAATGCATTGAAGGAAAGATCTAAATGCTTGAAGTTGGCTGTGGGGTGGCAAGAAATCACCCTTAACTCATTGTGGGACAAATCCAAATATTCCAGTTCCGTGTTGAATTTGAAAACACCGATATCAAGGTACCGGAGTCTGTTGTAGGACATCACCAAGGCCCTCAGCTTGGACAGTGAGAGGATGTCAGAAGTCTGAAGTTCAGATATATTGTTTTGTGATAGATCTAAAGTAGTTGTTGTCAAGGGTAGGTCCTTGGGCACATGGGTGAGGTTTGCTCTCGGCCTCTTAATGATAAGTTCACTTCCACCGGATAATCGGATATTGATAAGTATCAATCCCAAGACAATGATAACATAGAAGATGATGGAATTTATTTTAATCATTGTATGGCAATAAACATTCCTGAGGCAGCTGCTATATTCTTCAGAGCACTTTCGACATGGGTACAGATCCTAGGAAAAATTCACATGAAATGATTATATGAAGTCAGATATTAAACAGCTTCTGTTATTAGAGATTTATGAAATGAAGGCTATGCTCTTTAGAGTTATACAACCCAAAATCAAGAAGACTGATAAATTTGATAGCTGGTGAATAGATGGACAGTAGGTACTGTGTATGTGTGTGTGTCTGTGTGTGTGTGTCTGTGTGTGTATGCACACGCGCCTGTCACAGGGCATGTGTGGAGGACACTTGTGAGCGTCACTTTTCTCCTTCCACCACGTGAGACCACCCAAAGATTAAGCTCAGCTTGTCAGGTTTGGCAGCAAGTACCTTTATCCACTCCGCCATCTTGTTAGCCCCAAACAACTTTATATACCGTAGGAACTGGAGAAAGTTACAGAGAGACCACAGCTCTGCCGATGCCTGTACTTCTAGTCCCCAGAATAAACTGCTGTTATTTTAAGCTACTAAACTGACGATGGTTTATTGCAGGAACTGTAGAATTGGAACACAGATGGCCCACAGACACTCCTTATGCTGTATAGTTTAATGTCAACTTGACACAAGCTAGAGTCATCTGAAAGGAGGGGACCTCAATTGAGAAAAAGCCTCCTTAAGATCTAGCTGTAGGAATCAGCAAGGATGACCCCAGCTAAGACCATTAGCAATAGTGGAGAGGGTACCTGAGCTGGCCTTCCCCTGTAATCAGATCGACGACTACCTTAATTGCCATCAAAGAAACTTCATCCAGCAACTGATGGAAGCAGATGCAGAGAACCACAGCTAGCCCTGGACCAAGCTCCCAGAGTCCAGTAGAAGAGAGGGAAGAATGGTAATATGAGTCAAGACCATGATGGGGATGTCCACAGAAACAGCTGACCTGAGCTAGGTGGGGCTCACTGACTCCAGACTGACGGCAGGGGAACCTGCACAGGACCAAACTAGGCACTCTGAATGTGGGTGACAGTTGTGTGACTGGGGCAGCCTGTGGGGCCACTGGCAGTGGGACCACGATTTATGGCTTTTTTGGAGTCTATTCGCTTTGAAGGAATACCGTACTCAGTCTAGATATGGGGGCAGGCAGCTTGGTCCTGCCTCAAAGCGATATGCCAGACTTTGTTGAATCCCCATGGGAAGCCTTACCCTCTCTGAGGAGTAGATGGGTGGGTGGGAAGACGAGAGAGAGAAAGAGCTGGGATTGATATATAAAACGAGAAAAGATTGTTTTAAAAATAAATTTAAAAAAAGAAAAGGAAAGAAAAGAAATAGAATTCAAATAAATATTTCAATGCCTTTACAAAGAAAAAAAGATTGGGCAATAGGACATTTTCCTAACTAGTGATTGATAGAAGGGGGCCCAGTCCATTGTGGGTGGTACCCTCCCTGGGCTGGTGATTCTGGGTTCTATAAGAAAGCAGACTGAGCAAGGTGTAAGCAGCCCCCTCCATGGCCTCTTCATCATCTCAGGCCTCCAGATACCCCACTCTATTTGAGTTCCTGCCCTGACTTCCCTCAATAACGGACTATGGTATGGAAGTGTATGCCGAAGAAACCCTTTCCTCCCCAAGCTGCTGGGCCATGGGGTTTCATCTCAGCAACAGTAATCCAAATTAAGACAGTTCCCTGGCTCTGGCCCTCTCAAACACTCATTCAAAACCAACGCTGAGACTCATTTTGCATCCTTTAATGCTTTGATGTGGGAAGTTCAGGTGTCCCGTGACTCTGAAAAGACCCCCTGGGCGGCAGAGTCTCAACTACCCCGGCATCACTGGCATCACTGTGATTACCTGGGCAAGTCGTGGACCTAACTTTGGTCTTACTCAAAAGCTGATAAAGATCACAGTTAAGGTCGTTTACTCATTCATTCATTCATTCATTCATTCATTTATCCAGCCAATATGTATCAGTGTTTGGGGGCCCAGACACAGACCAGTGAAGAAGAGCAACTCCTGTCTCTCAAAGTAAAGCCCTGTTAATAAATAACTCATTTTAATTTCATGCAGTAGTTAAAGAGTAATCTAGAAAAATGAATCAGGGTAACTTCGGGTCAGATACAGTGCTAAGGAATTCGTTTTGACTAATTCCCTGGAGAAAGCCTTTTGAGATGACCTTGGGGTAGAAATCGAAAGGAAGCCAAAGAGCTGAGGGAAGAGCCCTTCTAGCAAAACACAAAAAAACAAAAGGTAAATATAAAGTCTTGAGAAGGACCTGCGGTGAACTACTCTGAGGAACAGGGTGGCCAGCAATTGTCCGGGATGAGGCAAACACAAAAGGCGTCGGGGCCAAGATCACTCTAGGGCTTGTTGGTCATGGCAAGGAAGCAGGGTTAGATCCCATTATTAGATAATTCTGTTGCTGTGATAAATACCCTAGCAAGAGCAGCTGAAGGAAGAATTGGGTTTATTTTAGTTTGTGGTTCCAGGGGGACAGAGTCCTAATGGTGGAGAAGGCACGGCCACTGGAGGGGCTCCAGGGGACAGAGACATTATGGTGGAGAAGGCATGGCCGCAGGAGCAGGAAAGCCTGCGGATCACCTTTCCATCCACACACAGGAGGCAGAGCAAGAGGGAGGGAGGAAGTGAGGTAAGGCTATTAACCTTCAGAACCCATCCCCAATGACAGATATACTTCCCCCACAAGACTCTACCTTGTAAAGATTCCAACACCTCCCAAAGAGCACCAACTGGGGACCAAGTGTTCAAACACAAGAGCCTCTGGGGGACATTTCACATTCAAATCCCAACAGATCCTACGAGTCACAAGGATACTGAGTCATAAGAATAATTCACTCATTCGATATTGGAGGGATTCGAGGCTGGAAAAACTTCAGAAAATCTTTTTTGTTCATTCATCAAATGAATATGTCCCCCTCTGACACACCAGACATTGTTTGGGGTTGTGCCCATTGCTCTAGTTATCAGCCCCTGCCTGTGACCTTGGTTGCTGTCTGTCGTCCCCTTTCCAATGGTGGGAGAACAGAGGGAGCTGAGCTGAGCTGGCATTGGAGGCTTTTTACAGACTGCACAGCTCGGCATCTGTCTCAGGAAACTGATTCAACACCCCCTAGACTGGCATTAAAGACAAGCCACCAGCATACCAACAAAGAGCCAGCATGTCCCTCACCAGACATCAAATGGCGCAGACAGACCTAAAGAATTCGATTCTGAGAGGTAGCCCTGTGCTATAAAAGTTCCCCAGGCTAGACATGCAGAGCTCTCCGCGGGCTGACCTTTCTGCAGGAGTGTCCAAGGATGTCCTGGCTATTCTGAGTTCTCCACCAGGAAACCTCTGAGCAATAAAGATGACCGCATCAACCTTCACGTGAAAAGCAAGGCTAGCCTTGGCACCGCATTGATTGCCCTGGGAAAGGCCGAGAAATGTCCCAAGTATCCCGCTCCAGCATCCCAAAGACCTCCACACATGCACATGCAAACGCAGGCACACACTCCAGATAAAGAAATAAGTGTTTTTCAAAAAATAAAAGTATTATAAACGTAAGGAAATCAATTTTAGATATTTGTTGTAGAGATTTTTAGATATTTAAATAATTTTAGATATTTGAAGCTATAAATTATAGATAACAAACTTGCTAAAGTCACTGAAAATCAATATCTAAATTTTCTTGTCCAAACAAAACCAAATTCCTGTTGTTACCATTTTTGTTTTTGGGACACCTCCCAATATGTAACCCTGGCTATCCTAGAACTTACTTAGTAGCTATGTAAAATGGTGGTCTCAAACTCACAGTGATCCTCCTGTCTCAGCCTCCAAAATGCTGGGATGTATGTAGCACCATGCCCCGCCAAAACATTGTTGAGCAGAGTCTTAACGATAGTCACTGGCCCTTCTATTTTAGACCCTCAAAACCATCTCACCATTAACTAGAAAAGGATGATTCATTAACTGGGCAGTGAAAGGGGACTTTTGAAGCATAAAAGCCTTCAGATACATGTATGTCCATTTTTATGATCCAGGACAAGTTTAGCTGCCATCAAATGGCACAAGAAACTAACGTATTTGCCTTACCTCTGCTCAGAAACTCTGGCGATATCAATCAGGGTTTGGTTGATCTTAAATAGGACAACACCCCACAATGAATGTGGCTCGTTAAATTCAGTTCTTCAAACATGTGTGAAGAGTTTTCTCTGAGCTAGAGTAACTATTAACCAGCCCTGGGAGGTGTGGACGGAGGGCAAGCATTTCTGGTTGGCTTCCTGTGTGACTGTGCAAACTCCTGCATTCATCTACTTGGATGTGGCTTGGGGAGCATTTTCAAATCCTCCAATTCCACCTTGACCTATAGCTCCCCAGAACAGTTACCATAGTCTGGGAAAACATCAAGAATATTCAGTAAGAATAACCCAGAATAAAAATGAAAGTAACCCTCTCCATTAACAAGGAATTAACAAGGAGCTGTGTGTTACAGCGCTTGTCCAGGAGAAACTGAGTTCCACTGTGCAGACTGTTTTCCCTGGTATAACGAAACGCCAGAGACAGACTGCTTGACAAAGAAAAGAAGTTAATTTTACTTACAGTTTTGGTCCAAAGTCAAGGGGTCACATCTGGCAGTGACCTTGAGAGCAGAATCCTAGGCAGCAAGGGGCATCTCAAGGCAAGAGATGGGGACATATATATATGTATTCTGGTTCCTCCCCCCTGCTTTTATTAAGCCACCAGTATTCAAGCATGGGCCTCTACTCTGATGATCTGATTGAATCCAATTCTAGTTTCCTCCCAAAGGGCCACCTCCAAATGCCATCGTCGGATTGAGCTTCCTCTCTCTTGGTGCCTCACAGAGGGTAGTAAATTCCAACATGTGGAATTCTGATCGTTACTTACTGTGACAGTGTGGTCACTCAAATGTATGCAGGTCCCAGCTTGTCCATTCTCCTGAACATTTCAGTGAAAAGAATATGGATGGGGAACAGGAGAGGAAAGGGGAGAGGAGAGGATGGGATGGGAGGGAAGAAGGGAGAGGAGAGGAGAGGAGAGGAGAGGAGAGGAGAGGAGAGGAGAG